TTGGTTTCAGTGTACTCAGCAATTTACTGTAACTTTATGCTTCCAAATTATTTGCAAGCATAAAATTACAGTAAATTTCCGCCTACGAGTCACGGTTTCAAATTTTACCCGTGAAAACACTTTCACAGCTCTAAATCAGTATACACTGATGAAATTTTCTAGATATTTCAGTAATTGTTAGATTGAATTTACAAAGCAATTTTCGAACTCGTTATTTTTTAGGCTACAAAATTCCAAAACATAGCTTTCCTACTAGAAGTTTTTGTTGAAAATTTACCAAAATTTCGCTCTGTTATGCGTTTTAGCTTTCAATGAAAAGCTCTTTACTTTAGGGAACAATTTCTCGAAGAAAATACAGAGATATTTCGTTGTGCTAAGGCTCTCACAATTGATTACCTGTAGAACTTAATATTAAACAATTAAGAGTGAAATACTTTTACAAAGCTAACTCATACAGTTGATTCAATAAGAAGAACAGTGAATAGGCAGCTAAATGAAGTCATCTCCCAAACCAAAAGTAAGACTTTCACTCATGATTTCAAACGGTAAGCAAGAAATGAACAGTACTATATATCCAGTGCCGAAGAATGATTCTGCTAACAGTGTCTCAAGCGAACCTGGAATTTTCTGAGGATCGGAGGAAATTTCCATGAAACATTTAGGCTTTTCACCATTTATTAAAGAACAGCGAATAGGCGAAAAAAGAATCCCAAACTCAAATCTGATCTATAGGATCGTTTGGAATTTCCTGCTTTGGAATAATCTCATCTTACATGTATTAGTAGCATGTATATCTACTCTAGCTTGTGGATAATCCTTTCCACAAATTTTGTTCAATTTTTGTTTGCTAGATACATGTATGACTATGGACAGTAGAGGTTTACGAGTAATGCTAAATGACACACATCTCAAACATCGAGGACTAATCGGTAGGTCAGCTGAGAATCACCGCCGCCGTATCGAGTCAGAGCCGTTTGTGCGAGCCTGAAACATAAAATTATGGTTTTAATAGGATAATATACTCTGCGGCCCAACAAAACCAACAGTTTCGTTAATCAGGCAAACGGTTATAATGGTGGTCGTGAATGATAAATTCGAAATAGTGAATTTAAAGAAAATTGATATCTACAACTACTGATTATTAACACGGCCAACAAAATAATTGATATCTACAACTACTAATTACTAACACGACCAATAAAATAATAATAAAAAATGTGTTCAACACAGCGACATATATAAGCTCCGTAATCAAAAGTGACGTGTAGAGCAATAGAGCGATTTGAAACTAAGCTTTATTCATTTTTACAGTTCGACAAGCTTGTTAAATTATCGAACTACAAAACCAAAATCGACTTTTTTGTTAAATCATTTGTTGTATGCTTACAAAGGAAACTTAATAAATATGTTCCACAAATATAATGGTTCTTTATACAGAGGGGCACCCAACGACGATCTCCTCCTAAATACATTGAGACTGAACACTTTTTAGCCTATCCAGAGTACTGCATTCTATGCAGGGCTATGAAAATTTGTGTATCTATTCGCTCATCGTATGGGAACTTGAACCTTTTTGAAATTACAAGGGCTTCAGTATTATTTTCCCGAAAATTTTAGAGGCAATTTAACGCATTGACGGAAATGAGAATTTTTCTGATTCTTCTCTCCATCATATTTTCTAATCCGAAAGTTTTAGGTTTCCTTTTTTTCTACGAAAAATAGCCTAACCTAGAAAGTGAAATGTGAAAAAATAAACTTCAAAAAAACCGTAGGGAATTCATTAGATAAGCTCCGAAAATTGTGCATGAATGCAACGTTCACCTATAAATTTTTAGCCGTCCTAAAGTAATAGAACATTCTAAGCAATATTTGCTTCTCCGAACAGATACTTCAACGAAAACAGTCGTTGGGTGCACCTGTTTAGAGCAACGCTCTTCGTACAGAAAAAAGCCGCTCTTGTTTCTTAACTGACCATACAGTTGTTCAAAGACAAGCAAAAACTAACAGAATACTTGAGTTAAGGATTTTGAAAATACAGAACCTGTTTGTTTTCTGAGGAGACCGCTATATTATTTAGTGCCTCTCAAGAAATAAAAAAGTCAAGCATGAACCGGTGCTACACGCCACAAATGGTGAATCATCGAGCGACTGTGTAAGATCACTAAAGTTAACTGATTGCACTAGGATTATTTACTGGATGGAATAAGATGGACCAGAATGGATGATGGCTACCAAGACGGAAAATGAGTACAACAATGTACCACTCTTTCAATTCGAGGTCAGTTTCGGGAAATAATTTCTATAAGAGTGATTATCATCTCGCGATATCTCAGACTGCAACTTTTCTTTCAACTGTACAGTTATACTTTGGGTTATATATGAATAATCGCACTTGGATTTAAAAAAAATCCAAGTACAACATCAATTTATTTCTAGTAAAAGTTGTACACTGTAGGTTGAAATGATGTTGTAAGAAACAAATGTGTACAGTAGTTCAAAAATTATGCAAAGACGCCTTTCGTCGGGTGCGTTGATTACTTAGCAACGTCATATTTACGCAGGCGAATGAAATTGTTTAATTGGAATTAGAATACATACGCAGGCTGTTTAGTGAGCATGTTTTGACGCCGAGAAACGTATTCAAACAAGAAAATTCTATGATTCAATCCCTAGCAGAGTGTTGGTATGTACAGTCCTCAAAGCTTTCTTTTTTTTCTCTAGCTTTATTAGAATTATGCTTTTTGATTCAATGTTTCTTTATTTCTTCTTTCTTCCAGTTCTCATAACTTTCATGAAGACAGATCACCAGATGAGCAATGAAAACATATGGGAAACAAGGTAAATCATATATGCGCCACGCGTTCTATACCTCCTCCGACCCATAGTAATTTGTCACGGATCAGATTAAGAATGACTTTTCAATGTATAATACACAGAACAATTTAAGCGGGTAAAATGTTAATAAGCAGTATTTAAAAATCATTTATCATGGTAAAAAAGGAAAGGATTTTCAGAGTCCAATGATAGTATCAAACGTGATTCATGTTAAGCGTCTTTTTCAAACAATTCTGAATATAGTTCAGAATTATTTCAACTTTGCTTATTTGGATATACTGTTGTGTTGACTTCCGCAAAGAGAATTTTCAAATTTGGATGTCGATAAATCTGGATACAGAAATGAACGACGGAAGAACTTGTAATAATTATTGTAATTTCTTTTTCTCTTGTTTTTCAGTAACTTCTAATAAATTGTACTTCGCTTGGGTTTACAGTAATATAGTATAAAAATATCCTAGTTTAGACAAGGACAGATTATGCTACGATTCAGTCTGGCAAACTGTTCTCGGTATAATGTTTTTCCCACTGCACCAAAAGGTGATGAGGTGACGGCCATCCTTATGAAGGTATAACACCGGTACAAAATATATACCCGGCTGTTAAAGGACAAAATTGAGCTATACCAAGAGATAAATCTTACACTTAAAAATATATATATAAAATATAATAAATGATGTTGTGGCGGCTAGATTCTCGACCATGGAACAAAAGCATGATTTGCATGCACAGGAACTCAGTTCCTGAAAAACACAAAACACGAATTTCTCATGTTAAGCCAAAAGAACCAATCAAAATGCTCGACGTCTTTTAGACGTGAGATGTAATGATTGGGAGATCGGATTTCTTTGAAACTTGTTTTAAAAACATGAAAAGGTAAGCAATTATTGCTAGAGAGGAAATAAATTAACCGGTAACGATAATCATTGCTATCATTTGGCTTTGGCAATCGTAAAACGAAGGTAAGTTAACTTCAAAAGACTCTGTAACAGTCATCGAGATTTCATTGCATTCAAACCGTTCATTTTTCCAAGGCATATTTTAAACATAAAGTATATCATTATTCATTCAAAATATTCCTGAGTTCTGAACAAGATTATCTCATGGTAAACTTTCTTTAAACCTTTGACTTATTTCTCGGTACGGTTTCAAAAACAGATGTTTGTCCGTTGCAGATACTCCTCAGAAAGTACATAAAATTCATCGAGCGATATGTTTAGCGCATTCTTGTATTACCTCTGTTCAATGAGATTTAGTTAGAAATCAGTTTTTCCGTCCCTAGTTAGCCGTAAACGCCACTTTGTTCTAGTTCACTCGTGAAAAAACAGCTTGACAGCTTGGCGATGATGGTCTAGCCCTAGAAGCCTTTATTCCAATATACCAAATATGGTAAGCGCCAGATGGTTATGAAGAATTTGGGGGGAGGGGGGGTGGGGAGAGGGGGACTAGAACCTTCAGCCTCGGTTGATAACATCCTCATCGATCTGCATAATTCTTCAGATCCTACCCAGCCACATTCAATAATTGCTAAGTGTTAATCATGTTCATTGTGTTTTCGTTTGACCTACTCAAGATATTTTATATCATAATCAAACTTCAGTTCTAGTGCACAAGTTAGAGGACCTTGATGATGCGATCACGAGTTAAAGAGAACACCATGTTGTTTGTTCTGATTTTTTCGCTCACGGCTGGTTTCTGCTCTGCTAAAAACAACAAACCACCAGACACCAAGGTAACTATATATATCAGGTAATATTGCCACTACACATTTTTTTTTATTACAGTTAAATAACGTTAGTTTAAAGAGAAAACTAGGAATGAGGTATTATATGTTAATTTAACTAAATCAGTCTGAAGGTTGATTGGGAAGACTACCAAATTCAAACAAAAAATGATTACTTCTACAACCTCGATCACTATTTTGAGAAGAGAGACAACATATTAACGTTTTAAACAATCAAAATTAACATTTTTACAAAAACAGCCTCTTTACTGGAAAATAAATTGATTTTTCCAAAATCACAATTGGCGATTACATTAAAAAACCCCAATTAAAACTTGAAAAATTAAGGAACTGCTTCGTGCCTGGATTGAAACGCTAGATGACAGGTGAAATTGTGAAGCGCTACTGGCAGTTTGTCACTGACTTTTTCTCTCTTTGGCAGCCTGTTCAATCTTGTCCATCTTGTAATAATGGTGGACAAACCGGGATGTGGACATACATGACATGTATCCCAGGCGCCCCTGGGGCACCTGGTCGAGATGGAGCCAAAGGAGACCTGGGCAGCCCGGGGAAAACTGGGACCCAGGGACCACGTGGTGCTGACGGAAAGAAAGGAGCAAAGGGAGAGCCTGGGATCCAGGGTTCCGCGGGACAAAAAGGAGAGCGAGGGGACAAAGGCGACAGTGGAACGCCACGACTGCCTTCACATTTGAACTGGAAGGAGTGCGCTTGGAAAAAGGGATACAACACAGATTCAGGATTGATATATGTAAGTGCGGATCGTCACTTTTTTAACTGAGGTAAATAATACTCTGTCAGCTCAAAGCAAGTAATTTTCACTAAAACGATTGATTGCCAAAATGCTTTGGTCCGGTCAGCGAAAATTATTTGAAGCTACGTAGTATTAGTTTTGTGTTAAAGTGGGGCCATTTTTAGTTTTACTATACTGTGCCTTTCTCTATTCCTAATTTCTTTGCTAACCTTATGTACTTTTATTTTTTTTTGCCAAAACACCTCGTATTATTAAATTAGTCTAAATATATACAACTGATGTAATATCTTTTAAATAAAAATACAATACAAAACGGAAGCTGTTTCTTTGTATCTCGTTTAGAACTGTGACTTTGTGAAGAAATACCCGGACACTTCCCTCCATGTCTACTATGCTGGTAACCTCAGGATCTACAACTGTAACAGCTGCTGTAGTCGCTGGTATTTCACCTTTAATGGAGCCGAGTGCAGCTCTCCTGGAACTATTGACGGTGCATTCTACATGCTAACAGGCAGAAACCACGATCTTCACCGTCACCGCCACATTGAAGGTCACTGCAACAACATTCAGAAAGGAAAGGTGCGAGTGGGATTCTCGGTTGGAAAATGCGTCACAGGACATAAGCTTGCTGACGCCTGGACTGGTTGGCACTCGATGAATCGTATCTTCATTGAAGAAGTACCGAAAGCTCAGCAGTAAGCTCGAGTCATGTGATCATCTGGACTTTGAAAATTACTATTAAATCTGTATTAGTACTGTAAAGAATAAAGAAGTCCAGAACCATTGACACTTTAATATTTTTACCTATTTGTTATATTCGCCAAAGACGAATGACAAAAAAATCATTAATTGAAAAATAAGGGCAGTGGCATACTTCATCATCATCAGTAGTTTTGTCGCGCCAGTAGGCGCACAAGGCCTCCACGCTGTCTGACCAAAACTTTCTGTCTCGTGCCAGCGCTTTGTCTACTTTCCACAGCTTTCACCTGCTTTGGTTCTTTCAATGACATGCTTACCTCATGCATTTTTCCCCATTGCGTCGCACCAAAACAGTCAATTTCACTGATGTGATTTTCCTCAGCCTCCCAAAGAGCAAGTCCTTCCTTTTTTCAGTTTATAGAAACGATGCTGCTAGTGGTGTCGCCAAAGTACTCAAGGACCTCAAGGAAGTCCTCGGCGAACCCGAGTCACGCTCTTCAAACCTTCCCGATATGTTAACCCCTGTCGGTCGTCATGGAAATAATTATAGTTCCCGTCAGCGGGTGGGGGGGAAGGGAAAAGAGAATTTGTTATCCCGCCCCGCACCATCACCCCGCGAGTCAAGGGAACGTAACATAATTCCTCTCATTCATCTCTCGCCGTGAGCGGGACCTTTGCTAGCAAAGAAACCATTGGCTATTTTCGAATAACCCATAATACACTCTGTTTGTCCCCCAAATTTGGCCTAAGTTATTGTTTTCACATGCTCTAAGGAAATGGAATATGCAATCCTCTCATTTGGGAAGGGGGTGGGGAGCGGGGAAAACAGAGTGTATTATTGGGGATTCAAAAATAGAAAAAAAGAGGCAAACCAGAGTAGGGACAAACCAGTGTTTTAGCCCTCATGGATGGGCAAATAAACTGCTTCCATCGTCAAGCCGCATTTCATATAAATTTGGTACTTTCAAAATTACGAACTTAAGGTACTCACATAGGAAATAATTAAACTTAAGTTCAGTTCACAAGTGGTCAGGCGTTTCCTCCTTGTCCACCAGGCCTTCTCGCTCGTACGTGACTCGAAAAGCATAGGCTGCGCCCAGCAGGGGCACCCAACGACGGTTTCCTTCGAAATACATTGTTAACACTATGTAGGCTACCCAGATTACGTTTAGATGTTCAGAAATGCATTCTAAGCGGCGCTTTAACATTTTCTGTTCGGTCATCCTAGGGGAACTTCAGTCTTTTCGAAATTACAAGGGTTTCAGTATTATTTTTCCAAAAATTTTAGATGCAATTTCAAGTATTACTAAACTGAGACACTGTTTCTGATTTCCAGGATTTCTCTTTCCACTGTCTTTCCATCGCATTTTTGAGACCAAAAATTTTAGGTTTCCTTTTCTCTGCAAAAAAAAAAAAATAGCCTAACGTGGGAAGTGAAATGTGAAAATTAAACTTCAGAAAATCGAAGTGATTTATTACATAAGCTTCGTAAAATTGTACATGAGTGCAACGATCATCTAGAAATTTTTAGCCTACCTCAATTAATAGAAAATTCTAGACAATATTTGCTTCTCCGAACAGATATTTCACAGAAAACAGTCGTTGGGTGCCCCATGGCCTAGGGAAGAAGCAAGTGCTGACGGCCCTTGTGGTGTTCTCGATTTTAGCTGTTAGGTGTCCGTCATTTGGTCACTTATAAAAATGACTTGGGACCTGCATCTAACCCTTAGTCTCTCTCTCGATGAAAATGTGGGCCCAAAGGAAGGCGGGAAGGAGACAGTGGGCGAGACGGCGCTTCGCCTGCCGTTTGTACCCTTCCCATGGTCCCTTGCGGCTCATCACCAGTCGCTCGCCTCTACCTTGCGAAAAACGAAGCGCCTGAGGAGGAGGCTGACCTGGGACTATGCTGCAATCAAATGTTGGATGCATGTTGGCAGCGTTTTGAGCCCAGAAACATTGATTTTAAAAAATTCCTTTTTCAATTACGGCATGTTTCAAAGGTTCACTCGAATAACTAACTCGCTTACGATATTTACAAAACAGTACATGTTGATAGCCAGCGCTAAAAGTTTAAAACGGTATCTGCAGTTTAATCCGGATGAGCTTCAGTGACTTTCCGGAGCCCGAAAGTCATCCGTCACTTGTTACCAATTCAACCGCGAAGGAGAATGGACCCACAACCTCCGTCGTTTGCACATTCTTCGTCTACAGTCATTTCAATAGGCTATTTCTTTCACTTTCAAAACGAGGCTCAGTGCAAAAACTTTCTTGTGATAATGAGTCCTATTTGCATGAGAATAAGAAGGAATTTTCATATCAATGGCTTCGCACGTAGCCTCGCATTGAGCTTTGGGCAACTCGGAAATCACTTATTGACGAGATCGAAAAGCCAAATGACACCGCATAGCAGTATGGGTAGTTTCATAAGCTCTTCGTATTAAAATCACTTAAGTACACGTACTTGACGTTATATTCCATTCTGTGGTATTGACAACTGCCAAACTATGACCGAATTGCAAAGGATTCACAGCCAGCCATATGACCTTGCTATCTTATTGCATATGTGTTCTTGTATACAAAATAATATCGTCATATGGTCATTGGTTCACAAAGGTTTGACCCTCTCAAACGACATTCAAACGCCACCAAGGGCATCAACTCGAGGCTTTGGTGGACAAAATACAGTGATTTGCATGAAATTGTCCACCCAAGCCTCCTTCGACCTTGTGTCATAAGGAGCTTAAGCAACTACGACGACGACAACGACAACGTCAAAAAACAATTGGTTTTTTGAGCAAAACAACCGCTCTGCACGTGCATCACGCTTCTTAGTACATTTCTTTGACGTCCACTGCACCACTACGACGTGAAACCTCCCAATGCAACGTTTTGTGAAGGGCGTGGACATACAACGAGAAGTTGTCCTCTCTCTATTTGAACATGGATGAAGTCGTTAAGAATTCAACTCCACGAAAACTCGCCTACATTTGACGAATTGCGTGGTTTCAAATAAACGCGATAAAGTTTGAAAGGACGCAAATCCATTTGTTCAGTGATGTTTTCACTGCCGTCGTCGTCGTTGTTACTTGAGATCCCTGTGTGTGCTCCGTGGAGCGAAATGCCGGAAAGGTATATGCGAGATTCAAGCAGCACTTAATCTTGGTGTCACTACCCTTAGGCAAAACGGAGGATTTTGCCTCCACCACACGATAGAACACATAAAACAACAACATTAGAGGCATGGGCGTGTCGGTCAGCCAGGCATATGCTGAAAGAACAAACCAAAGGTTACAGGTAAATATGAAGACACAAGTTGACGTGGTGAGGCTGACACGATACCTCCCGCGCAACACGCCAAGCTAGTTCACCGTACCGTGCCGTTATGGTATACATTTGCGTACATAAGTCAATCTCGTTCCCAGGCTTCTCGGGGGAACGGAAAGAGAGGCCAAGTTTCTTTTCCACGGTTTTCTTCAGCGACGGTCGATTTAATCGCCAGAAACGAAGGGCACAAGCACAACACATTTTGTGACTGTACACGAACTATTGAGTAATAGTTTATTTTGACATAAAACTTAATATGACAGCTCCGGCTTAAAGCTCTACATAGTTACTCTGATATCAAGTGTTGTAATCACTAACTGGGGAAGGGTTTGGGGCATACTTCTGAAAGTACATTTGGCAGTCTGCTTTCCACATTTTGGGAAAGACACAAGATCTAATGCAGCAGTCTTGATCATGCATACATTGTTAGAACGGTATTCACTGAAGTGACCTACAACCCTCTCTAGCCAATCACAAAAGACTGGACGGAAGGTTGCCAAAAGGCGGGAAGAGAAATTGACACGATATATTTTAACCAATCACAAGGAGTTGAGTGCGGATAGGATATTCTGGACATTACTTTTCCACACATCACTGAAACCCGTTCTAAACAAACTAGAATTCCAATGGACATGCACGAAATCTTGCATGCAAAGGAAATTAAGATCCGTTTTTCTTCTTTTTTTTCGAGTCAATATACAATATGTTTAAGTTTGCAGTGCTTTCTTCTCTGCAAGCTAATTTCTGAACAAAACAAGTCTGGTTTGGTGGGCGGAGAGAACACAATGATTAGAAGGGGGAAAGAGACAAAGTTTCTCTGTTGCCTACTTAAATCTACATTATTAACTACATACTCTACTTACACTTTCACGAGCACAAACATCAACAACAAACAGGGACACGTTTACTGTACAGCAGTGCGATAAAGACAGGTTCCTTTTTAAAAAACTCCCAGGTCTTTATAACTCTTCTTTTTGTTTTGAAGTTTCTTCCCTTGCTTCTTCCTTCGCAATCAGAAGCAACAGAATAGTTTTTGCAATCAACCAAACTTGGAACAAGGAGTCCGACAGTGGAGGGGGGCAAATATTACATCAACAGTCACGTTATAATTCAGACCACCTATACTAGCGTATCCTTCTTCTAAGGGTGAGTTAAAAAGCCTTTCCATGTTCATAATATAAATCTAAATTATTATATGTACTTATTCATACTTCAAAAGGAAAATATTCAGATTTCATAGAGATATTATGGAGTGTTTGCAAACAAAGAAAAATTGTTGTTTCTTGGTTTACGGCGAGAACGTATCGTTGAATTCATTTTAAGACAACACAAAAGCCGTCTTTCTTGTTTTCATTCTAGAACTTTACTTAAACAAATAACTACGTAATTTCGGGTACCTTTAAATTTAACTTTATCGACCGGGCACTATATGCGTATCTTACAAATAGCTCAGTTCTTGGTACTTAAAAAAAGAACTTCTCTGCCACTAAAATCCGATAGAAAATACCTTAAGAACAAGTTTCCTTTGCCTGCTCACTTGATTTTCTCAAGAAGTAACAAATTTTAGCGCTCGAGTTACCAGCGCAAGTCTTTATAAGAAATTCGACTTCTAAAATAAAGTGTTTAATTTCACAGAAGAAGAGAACCAAACAACGCAATGTGACGACGACCACGCG